TAAGTTTTGAATTTATATTGTTTCATCCCATCTGCAAAAGCATTTTTTCCCCAGAAATAGATTTTTCTTTTTATTTGTTTATTTTGGCAAATGTAAAGGGAAGCAGAATGTTTTATTATGATTTTTGCTTCAATGACTTTAGGACAAATTTGTAAAAGTTCTAAAAAATAAATAAACTGAATAAATGTGACTCTATGGAAACTTACTGCATTGTACTGATTTTTCTGGTATTGCTTCAGGCTGGTGAAAAGTTCCTTCAGTTGATGAAAATGGAATTTAGAAACCATTGCTATATAGAGCGCATCCTGTGAGCGGATAACTAGCTAATTTGTGGGGGAGAGGGGCTGGAAAGGCAACCGATCCGGGTAACAGTGGCAGCTGGGCCAGTTGGGGGTGTCATTTGTAGTCCCATAGATGTTGAACTCATCTGGTGGCCTTGTGTTCCATAGTCTTCTGTGGCTTCTTGGTCCACCCTCTTTTCCCACCCCCAAATAAGGGAAAGATGCGGAATGTTAGAGTCAGAAAGTACAACCAAAGGAACCAAAGCAAACAAGTACAAATTTATTCTTTTCAAAGCAGAATTCAAGGGAAAGGGGGAAAGCACCACAGTGAGTGGCAAAGTTATCCAATGTGTTCCCAGCCTGCCACTTTGTCTCAAACATTTCTGTACTTGCATTCCACCCTTGCCACCTCCCCCAAATACCTTCCCCAACTCCTATCCTTGTGACCAGTCCTTAGAGCCAGCAAGCAGCATAGTAGGCTTCAGTTCAGCCTCAATACTGCCCTGGGGACAGCAAGGACATTCAGCAAGTTCCCTTCCAAATACACAGTGGCAGCAGTGGGAGGGGATGGACACTGGGATCTGAGCCCTGGCCTTGAGCCTTTCCCTCTCCCACAGCCACTGGTGTTAAAAGAGTGAGAAGTATTCCTTTGTTCCCAGGCTGGATTTTGGCAGCAAAATGCAGAGATAGAGCTGCCCTAGGGCAGGGCCCCCAGTTTCTCCCCCAGGATGTTTATGTTAAGGCAGCTATTTTCTTGGTTATAGGTTGCCTAAGTTAAGGGAAACTGGATAGGATTCTTGGCCTGAAATGGTCCCACAGGCTATGACTTTGTCATTGAGAATGTAAGTTCAAAGAAGGCTCTAGCTTGAGGCTGGATATGGAGCCAAAGTCCCAAATACACACCTCAGGTAACACAGGTATTCCTTAACGTTATAATCCGGAGGGAAAACATCTCCAAGGATTGGCCTCTGCCTGGCCTCAGAGTTTCTCATTACTAAGACTTTTAAGCCCAGTTCCTGGGCATAGAAACTGAAACAGTTTTCTCTGCAGGGAAATAGTGCAGAACTTTGGGCCTTGAAGGAAGTGGGCACTTGAGAGCCTTGATTCCAACCTTTCCATTCTGGAAGAAAAGGCACTTGTCCCTCCTGGGTGGGACCCTCCTCCAGCTGGTCAGCATTCCCTAATGACTCCTGATCAAAAGTGAATCCACCCAGCTCTAGCTGGGAGCAGAGGTAACTTCATAATGACTTTTTGGCCTCTATCAAATTTTGTCAAGAATGAATCATCCATCATTCCTGGCCTTGAGCCAACTGTTCCATGATGCTATTTGACCACAATACAACAAACACTCACATTCAGTATCACTGATGCTAATCCCACAACTCAGAAGGTTTTCCTTAGGCTAATAACCCAGCAATTCCCTTCACCTCTCTTCCAGTACAGGGCCATAAACTACACAGCACCATGCACAATACCTTTAGGAGACATGATACACAACAGATGCCTAACAACATACAACACATTTCAGTAAATCCAACCCCAATTTGGATTCACAGCGCCCAAGGATCCATTTACTTCACTGTGGGCAAACTGCCCACAGTTTGCAGTGACTGTCACTGGACTCTTGTGTGATATACTCACCTCAGACATTAAGGTAAACATAAGGCCACAAAGTGTCAGCGACCCCCTTAGCAACAATTCAACGCTTGACCTGCTGCTTTGGTTCACCTACTGCACAAATCCTACATAACAAGATCTACATGTTTTCTACCATGCCTGGCCTACTGCTGTTGTCACAGGCCCTCAGCAGTCCAAGAGCTCTTTGGCAGGATTGGGGTTGTGGAAAGGACTTCCCTAGTAAAAAATTGTTCAATAATATATGACCTCCTGAAGCTTAGGCAGGCACATGCCTCAAAAGTCTCTGAGCCCTATGCCCCATAGCAAATTCCATGTATCCTTTCTTGCCCATGAGCTAGGCCCCTACAAATAAACCCCCACTCTGATTCCCAGGCTCTGTGGCTAATGCCTACCTACTACCTGCTCGCCATATATCCAGATACCCAATTCTCCCACCAGAGACCTCATAAACACTGAGGAAGATTATGCGATAAGAGGTCTGATACCTTAGATCTGTGGCTTAGTGGCGAAAGAAGTAATCCTAGGCTTCTGGACCTGAGCCGCTGCCCTACCTCTCCTCAGCAGATTAATTTAGGTTCCCAGAAGTTCTACACAATGGCCTAGTGCTTGATCATAACACAACACTCCAATCATATCACTCCCTCATGATTTTGATGGCAACCACTGCTCTCTTTAAGGTCCTGAACCAGACCCTAGGAATTGGAAGGGGTCAGAGGATGTACTCTGTACCTTAGCCTAGCAAAGGCAAATAATATCTATTTGTTCCTTTTTTTTTTTTTTTTCATGGAGTGGGCAGAGCTTATATTTACTCTATTTTGGCACCTGGACCATTGTTTAGGGGAGCCCAGGAAAATTCATCGAAAGCTCTGGTCTCAAGGAAAAAAGATATGGGATGAGTAAATGAAGAGAATAAAGTGACTCTTCCTGTTGGATTCCTCTGTGGCCACAGGTTTCTGTTGCTTTGGTCGTAAGGACAGTCCACCCCAATTCCCATCAATGGAGGGAGATATCCTGGGGAAGCAGTCAAAAGTCTTTCTAGTCAGAGGCTGAGACTAACAAAGAGCAAGGCAGAACATTAATACTTCAAGAGGTATTAGAATTTAATGTGTGAGTGAGGCCAGGAGAGCACTGATATACAGTAGATATGTAGAATAGATATGTATGCATATAAACTTAGGCAAATTAAGTCAACTGCAGGGTTCTAGGTTATAAAGCTCCTCTTGATAGAAAGCTGCCCAAGTAGGCTCTGACTTGTTCAAAGTTCCCAAGCCCATTCTCCCCAACCTCCACTATCTACTCTGAACAGTTCTTTATAAAGGGATCATTGTAAATGTTACCTAGGAAGAGTTAGTTCAGTTTGAGGATTGGGTTCACCTTCCAGAGTTAGAAAGAACAGTTTTATGCACATGAAGGCATTGTTGCCATCTAGGGGTAAGTGGACAGCTTCCTGATTTATGGACAGAGGTTCCCAGGAAGAGACCACCACTTAGGGTGGCCAGTAGCAATTACCTCATGATTATCTGGGGACAATCAGCCACCTCACATGATTCAACCTAAGAGACAGAAGGGTCATATCCTGAAAGGGTGTTGGGTAGTCATACTCCTCCAGGGTAGATGGTGGCTTCCCTTCTCTCACAGAAAGACCTCCTTGCTAAGCAAGGTGCCACTCCTCCTCCAGGACTGTGAAGACAGACTTAGAGACACAAAGTGCAGCTTCAGTTGGGTTTCCAGAGTAATGCAGCATGCCTCTCAGGATGCTGAGGTCTTCAGAAAAGAGGAAGATTGGGGATGGGGGAAGATCTAAACCCATAAGTATTTCCTTATGGTTCCAAATACAAAGTGTAAGTAGAAACAGAATGAACTAACCCCCTGCCCCCTTAAGGAAGGTCATCCCAAGACCGAGGCAGGAGGAATTGAAGATACTCAAGGAGGAAAAAAATGTCTAGTAGTTTCAGGATGGCTAGAGATCTGCCCTGGAGCTGAAGTAATAGGACACACAATGCCCAGACTTTTTCAGGGGCACATTGGTCTTGGGGGTAGTATCTCAGGAATACCCTTTTGTCTTCCTGAGTTGGGCCAGAGAACAGGGCTAACCCCTGTGGATTTGTAATGCCTAGAACCCTGGGGTCATTAGGCTTTTCCCTGTTCATAATTCCATGGAGAAGGAGAAAAGGCCAATGGACACTGCTGAAATTCTGAAAGGCAGCTTCTCAGCTCTCCATCTGAATAGGCAAGTGCCATTTGCCTGGGCTACAACGAAAGGCTACTTAAGGGACTTATCTTAAACTTGAGAATTAAAGGGTACATTACTAGAATTAAAGGAATCATGCCTCCCTTCTTTCCCACCTCCCACACCCACCTCACATACCACCAGATCCTTGCTGCTGCCTGGAGCCCAAATAACTCTGGTTGAGGAAAGTGGGGCCAGTGGAGACTAGAAAGTTTGGGTGAAGGCTGAGGGAAGGCTTTGACCGCAACCAGGAAAGGACTATGGACTATAGTGTGGGGATCTGGCTCCATCAAGAGGCCAGCAGGGTGTTGGCAGTCACATCAGGGCTTCGCACACTGGGGAAGGCATGGCGGAGCTTCTCCATGATGTCCTCCAAGCACAGGCTGACATCCTGGCTCTTTGACCCCACATCATCTAAGTTGGAAAAGAGAGATTTGGAAAGAAAACCAGAGACTCCCTTATGAAGCCAGGGGGCCAAAGCAGACATTGCTAGCTGAAGGTCAGACCAACAATACTTGTCTTCCCAGAACAATGCCAAGTATGTAGGAGGTATTCCATATATATTTATAATATTAACACATGAATGAATCAATCAATAAAGCAATCATCTCTGACCCTAATCTCAAAACCACGAGGAGAAACCAGTCCCAGCACTAGCAGAATCTAGGACAAGAAATCAGGGGCAGGACAAAGCCATGGAGGAGGCAGCCGGGAGTGGTCAGGGGAACTCACCTGCAACCTCAGTGTCTGGAGTAGTCTGTCCCTTCTCCCGGGGGTGACTGCCTTCTGACTGCTGTGGAGAGGAAGCTAGAGATGAGCCTGCAGAGCCATTGCCATCTGATTCAGTGGGTGGCTAGGAAGAGGTAAGGAATGACTTAAGTCGCTTTGTCTTCTTGACCTTAGTTCATCAGACTCTTGAGCTTAACAGGGATCCTAGAGGCCAACCAGTGGCAGTACATGGTAGAGGAGGCTAGATGTCACATGGCTGACTGTGATTCAAGTCACGGATCTAGTGACTTAAAAAATACGCTAGGTGCATATGTGTCCTGGCTTAAAATCTCAAAGGGAGAGAGAAATGGAGGAGAAGGGATTGCAGTGTAGTCATCTCTGTACGGGATGTTTTCTTACTTTCTCTAACAAGTATATGTGTCCTCTTAAAAAAAAGAGAGAGAGAGAGAGAAAGAAAGAAAAAAAGAGCCATAGACAACTCATCCTCATCCCTTTGCCTTTGAGCTTTTTTTAAAAATTAAAAAGTAATGGTGTAGGGCCAGCAGGTGGCATGGTGGTGGTTAAGGCACTAGACTCCCACATAGCAAACTGTGGTCCAAGTCCTAGGCCTGGTGGCTTGAAAATCATGCCAGGCACATGTGTGTTCATGCCCCAAATCCCGAGAGGAAAATGGAGGAGAAAGGACTGCAGTCTGGTCATCCTCCCTGGGGGGGGGGTGATTTATCATATTCCCTCTCTGTGTCTGTCTCCTGTGAGCCCATGTGCCCTATGGCAAAAACCTAAAAAACAAACAGAGAAATGATATATTACTTTCTTTAAGTTTCTTTTTTTTCTTTCATGAGTAAGAGAGACAGAGGCAGAACCTCCAATAGGGTCTTGATGCCACAATCTACCTCCAGCCTCAGCCAGCCATGGATGATAGGCACACGCATGCCTGATATACTCAGGTAGGTCTCTGGATGTGAACCTAGAACTTTTCCATTTGAGTCAGCCTCAGAGAGAGTCATGTTTTACTGCTGTGGCACCATCTGGCCCCTGCTCTTAGACTTAGAAGCTTTGGTAATGTGCAAAACAGTGACTTCCCCCCTTAGAAAACTCTTGGAATATTCCATTACCAATTACCAACTTACTTCCTTCCTGTCAAAGGTTCCCAGTTCTGATAATGATGGCATTGCATCTAATGGTCCCTTGCTGTCATTTCAGCTATAATTAAGCTTTTTAGACTATTCCCTCAGGAAATCTAGAGTTGCACACCTGATCCTTGTTTCATGACATAACAGCCTATGTTAGAAACCTACAGGAATTCATTTAGAGGCCACCCCTTGGAGGATGTGGGGAAGAACCCGGAGGCACTAATGCCTGTTATATAAAATGACAACAATAGATAACATTTATGAAGTGTGGACTATATTCCTAGCATTGTGCGAAATTGTATTAAACGCATTATCTCACTTTATGTTCACCACAAGTCTATGACATTAGTACTATTATTATCCCTGTTTTACATATGAGGGAACTGGGGCTTAGTGAGGTTAAATAACTTTCCTAACACTGCACAAAATCTAACTGGCAGAACCACATTCAAACTCAGGGCCGTCTGAGATACACTACACCATATATACTACCTCTCAGAAACCAAAGGGACAAAAAGTAGTAAGAGGTACCTATAGCAAAAATCTTCCTCTTGACAAGTATGTCGAAAATTTTCTTTCTAGTAAACATTGTAATATTAAAATCAATGTTTTGAATGATGTTTGAAGTTCGTTCTTTTGATAGTGGATTCCAATAGTTGTGAAGAAGTGGGCCCTTAGAAGTCCTACCTCTGCTCCTAGCCTCACGGTGGCTTGAGAGTGACATATGAGAGAGAATGGAAGCTAGGTGGAAGAGAATAGCCAAGAAAGTGCCTATATAAGTCCCTTCCTTTCCTTGTCCTCCCCAGTTGCCAGCCCATTTCTCTTCAGGAAGCCACCTGAAAGCTATCACCAAAGAGCTCTATTTCCTCCTAGCTGTTATTGCTCTACCACCAGCTCCCCAGTCCTTACCCCTGTATTCAGGGACTTCCCTTATTCTTTCTTATCTTCAGCCTCACCTGCAGGAGCAGCTCCCTCAAACGCTGCAGCTGAGATTCTAGCTGCTTATTGTGGTCTTCAAGGATCTGCATGCGTGTCTCCAGGCGGCTCTTGTGCTGCCGAAGGATCCTGGCCTCAGCCAGAAGCTCCTCATTGCGGTGGTCCTGTGCTGCCTCGGCTGAGCTCTCTGTCAGGGTGGGTGCCTCAGCAGCCTCCTCATGCTGCCACTTCAGGCGCCTCAGCTCTCCCTGGAGAATCCTGCCAAGGACACAGAAGTTACGACCTACAGCCCTTGGCCAGCCACAGTGGCCCACAGCTAGCACTACCACTTGAGAGCCTGGAGACTTCAGCTTTGGGGACAACCTGAAAATGCTGGTGATTGCACACTTACTATCCTAGCTATCGGGAGTCTGGGGCAGGAAGACTGTGACACATTGAGACCCTTGTCAAAAACCTCTCTCCCTTCCCTGCTCTCCTTTCTCTCTCCTTCTTTCATAAAGGAAAAAGAGAAAGAAAGAGACCTATGACTCTAAAAGATACCAACTGTCCAAGACCCAGATGTCCTCTTATACCTCTTCTACCCCACCCCCAACACAACCGTGTTGTAGTTTGAATGGTCCCATCTTCTTCCTCTCCAGCATATATGCCATTTACTCCACCATCCTGAGACCTCAGAGCAGAGAGAGCTGACATTTCACATAAGAAATGTCTCATGGCTTTGATGTGTGGCTTCAGGGATTAACTCTGACCTTAAAATTGGGTAGAAAGACAGTCTTCAAATAAATGAGGCATCAGGGCCACTGACTCACCTCCTCCATTTTTAGATTTTTCAATTCCAAGGGAGGACACAATATAAACAAAAAATCACCAAGCTTGCCTCTTCTCTCCATGACTCCCTTCTTTGGCCTACTTAGAACACCCATGCTGGGTCATCAAGGAAAGAGATCCCAAAGAGATGGCCTACTTTTGAGGACAGCACTCTTCTTTTCTTTGTTTTTCCTCTTCCTTGTTTCTTTCTTTCTTTCTTTCTTTTTTTTTTTTTTCCTTGCAACAGAACAGAATCACTCTCTGCCCAACATCTCCCAGGGCTTGCTTGCTACTGCTCAAATGCAGTGTTTCCTAAACTATTCATAATGAAAATTAGGGTTCTTTTTTTCCCCCACCCCATTGTGGTCCAATATGTAGTCCTACTGCTCACAACTATTACATAGCTCACACTATGCGTGACTCACCACACAAGTTTAACAACACTCAAATTGGTCTCTACCCTATTCAATGAAATAAGTCCACTAATTATGTGTTTGAATGTCATGGAAATGTCAAATTACTAATAAAGGTTTCTAAAAACTCACTCTCTATTTCTATATTCATCTTGTCCTGGACTAGTGACAAATACTTTTACAGACCAGTCCTGGTCCATACTCTCCCCACTGATTAGTGCTGCTCTGAAGACTTACTACTCTGGGGAACGAGTAGTTAGCGTAATGGCTATGTTGCTGGACTCCCATGTTGTTTACCGCAGTTCAAGTCCTGGACCTAGTGGCTTAAACTTACGCCAGGCGCATGTGTGTGCGTGCCCAAGATCCTGAGAGGAGAAGGAATTGAGGCGTGGTCATCCCCCCTCAGGGGGTAATTTTTCGTTTTCTGTCTCTCTGTCTCTCTCTGTCTTTCTGGCGAGTGCATGTGCCCTATAGCAAAAACCTCTCCCAAAACAAAACAAAACAAAACAAAAAACCTGAAGATTTACTACTACAAGTTTGGTCTGCGAACCAGTGACATGAGTACCCCTGGGAGCTGGAAAGAAACTCAGGCTCCACACAGTCCTGTGAATCTGAATTTGTGTTTTGCTGAGTTCCTCAATGACTTGTGTACACGATAATGTTTGAGAAACACTCCTTTAAGTGGTACTATGCATTCTACTTCATATCCCTAAAATAGCTTTGACCTTCCTCAGGCCCTGCTGCTATCCCTACTTGATAGAGATTAATATCTATATTAATTCCTGTACTCTTCTGAAACTTCCCTCTTCCCGTCCTGTAATGCTTTATGTGGTGTCATTGTCCTCTGAAATACTATTTTATTATTATTTATTTTATACACTTAATCACTATACATCATTTTGCTAATAAGTTGAATTTACCCAATGCAAATACACTTCACACCAGTCCAGTTGAGGATTCAAAACACATTATCATCAACAGATAATAACCCACCTCTGTGTCCCATAAATGTCCTACCTCTCTATTTTCCTCCTTAATTTCCTTCCTTACACTCTCTCTTTCTCAGGACCCCTTTCCACTTCCAACACTGAAAGTTCTTTGAGGGCAGGGACATGTCATACTCTCTTCTCTAAGCTCCGTGTTTACCTACTCTCTTTTTACATCTAGTGGGTACTCCAAAAATTAGGAGTGAAATGAAAAAGATTCAAATAATTATCATAATGGCTAGCATTTACTGAACCCGATAAGGTAGGCACTGGGCTAACACATTATATACCTGATATCATTTAATCTTTACAAGTGATCCTAGGAGGTAGGTAGGATCCTCATTTTACATATGAGGAAATGGACATAAAATATAAGTAATACAAGGTCACACAGCTTGTGCCAAGACTTAAATTCAAGCAATCTGCCTCTAGAACCCAGAGAGATTTGTGCCATTGTCACACCCACCGGTTCTCATCTTCTAAGTGGGCCAGGATCTTCTCTAGTTCCCCCTTGCTTTCTGTAGCCATGCTGCATGGAGCCTGCTGTCCAAAGCCTGGTTCCCGATCTGTGATGGGGCTAGAGTGCCGTAGCAGGTACTGGTCCTCATCTCTACATAAGGGTAGGGAGAAGAAAAGGAGGTGGCAGGACATTGAACAGAGAAACAGCTCAGGGTATAAGTTCTCGGTTCCCAGCTCAGGGCCCAAGAAATGCATGCTGAAAGATTCACTTCAAAGTCATAAAACAGGAAAAGTCTATATATTCAGGCTTAAGAAGGATGGAAGTGCTCAAAGGTGGCAGAAGCTGTGGATGGGTATACTAGGAGATAGAGTTTTCAGGATTCTTGGGCTTCTGGGCTCTAGTTATAGCTCCCTGGGAAACAAAGAGAAAGTCATGTCCCTTTCTGTGTTCCTCCTCTACTCTTTGCCCCTTTGATTCCTTATGCTCCAGAGGCATCTCAGTCTCAGCCAGGGCCAGAATGATCCACAAAGCCAACGGATCCTAGGCACTCTGAGCAGACCATAGACCTCTATAGAGATGCAGGGTCCCTTCTCTGAGCTAAAGCATAAGGGAGTTCTTTTGGCCATACTTTAGTCAAGTCCTTGATATCTCCCAGGGTGAAATGGCACTAGATGGGGCTTTAGTTTCTTGAGCACAACAGAACTCCTTTCTGCAGCTTTATCTGGGAGTATATCGTTCTTCCCTCAAGGTTGGGTAGAGTAGGACAGGGTCTTCCTACAGGAAGGAACCTGGGCAGATGGCAGAGAGGGCATCTTTCATCCCCCAGCTCAATTACTACAGGGAGGATTGCTTCTCCTACTAAACGCCTGTTCCCAGAAAGAAGCCATCCTTCCTCAGGGAGCCAAGGACCCTAACCACCACATTTCCCCTCCCCTTGAGAGTATAATCTTCCCAAATGGTGACAGAAGGATCCCAAGGAGAGCTATCTCTGGAAAATAAGCAGCTGTAGAAACTCACATGCTGTCATCTGGGGACAGGCTGTCATTAAAGAAGGAACAATTTTGACTTTCCATCTCAGCAAGCCTGGGAAGAAAGAGCAGAAATAGGAGAGAAACAGAATGTGGAGCCTGAACCCACAAAAGAATCATCAGCTTTGGGAGCTGGCCCAGCCAACCCTAAGCATTGGGCCTCATTAGCTGTAGCATACCTTAGTGTGCACATCTCCTGGCCCTGACACCATTCTCCCTGTCCTGACTGAAAAGCCCTTCCCCTTGGACTCCCTTAAATCCCCTCCAAACGAGGTGGTACCTGCTGGCAAAATGCTCAATGCGGGAGTGTGTATCCGCGTGTGGCAACATCGGGGAAGAAGCTGGCCTAGAAGAAAGCAGTCAAGTCTCAGAAGACCAAAGAGAAGGCATCTGGGCAGCCTGTTTCCTCACTACCCTCCCCAACCCCCACATCACAGAGATGGTCAGGAGTTAATCAGAACAGGATACAGAGACTAGATTCTAGTCTATCTCTTGTGCCAGTGTTCAGGTTAGGCCCAACTCAAACTTCCCTGTCACTAGAGGGATTTGCTCTGGTACACTTCCCTAGACCACTTGGGACTCAGCCCCTTCACAATACAACCTTGGGCTCAGTGAGGCTTCCTATGGCCCCTGTTCAGCCACTGGTACTCACGTCTCACTGTAGTCAGCCTCCAGCACTGACTGCACAGGCAGATAACCTCGCTGAGGGTGTTTGCTGAAATAATGCTTTGAGCGAAATTTGTTCTTTAAGGTTGTGGCAAAGTCCCTCATGTTCTCACTGGATGTGGTCTGGGGGAGACAGGACAGAGGGACCGGTTTTATCCTAATGGCTTCCAGATATGCTGGAAAGATGTTCCCCTAGTGCAAACTATGACTAGTGATCCACTCTCTTTCATGCCTACTACACCCTGTTTCTAGAAGGATACACTCCAAACTATGAACACTGGTTGCCTCTAGGAAGTTAGACTGGAGGGGTGAGGGCCAGGGTGAGAAGAGAGGGGTGCCTTCAGTTTATACTTTAAGCACCTCTATATAGTTTGCATCTTTTACCATGAGCATATCTTCGTTAATTTAAAAAATATCTTACCTATAAATTCTAAGGATGTAGAGGATATGTAGGAGGTAGAGAATTATCACTCTATCATCTCCGGTCAGTTTTCTGTTCATGACTTTTATAATGTTTTCTTTAAGGTAATAATAAACTAAAGTAAAGGGTATAGTCTCTGCTCTCACAGAGTTGCACATGTTTCTGTACCAACTGCATTTGGAGAGGATGTGACAGCTTGGAAAGATGGAATGTAGGGAAGCAGGTTGAAAGATGGGAGGTAGAGTAGGAGAGAACAGTAAGAAGAGCTGGGGATATTCATGGGACTTTGGGGTACTTTATGGGGGATAGAAAAGAATAAAGATGTTTAGGAAATAGAATTAACTCAGGAAGCTAAGCATGAAGCTGTGGGTCTTGAAGACAGCACAAGAACAATTCTGTGGCTCGAATTCAGGAGTGCTGGCCAACCTGAGCATAGGTGGCTATGAAGGATATAGTTGCCAGTAAAAAGCAAGTGGAATTTTGGGGCCCAGGTAAAAAAATATATTCTATTTTTCTCCCTGAGGTACTCAGTAATTAATCTGAGTACAAACTTTCCTATTGACTAGAAGGGGAAAAAAAAAAAAAGACAAAGTAACAGAGAGCCTGGGTATTCCAGTACAGGCGTAACACAGAAAGCTAGCCAGGAAAAACTCAAGTGAGCAACAGAAGGTTAGACATCTGGAATTGCCTTGCTTTGTCTTTTCCCCACTTTGACTCGGCAGTAAACTAGTGAGTGCCCTTTATTTTAAAAATTTTCTTTCTTTGCTTTTTATCTTTAATCATTGTACATCTTTTAAGCATACAAATGTCTGAGTGTCTTTGGCCAGCAGGTGAAGGAAAGGCTCTGCTGAAAGAATAGAGGGGCCTGAATTGCCCAAACTGGTGAATCACCAGGATGGTTTGAAGAACACTCCCTCTAGGAAGGCACAATACACTGAACCAATGCTGGGCGAAGTGGATCAAGGCCTAGTACCTAAGAGTTGCCTACCCTTCCTGCCCAGCCCAGAGGCTCCATACCGGTGTGTAATACTCCATGATGGGGTAGTGCAGCTTGTTGCCTTTGCTGGCCCTGCCCGTTAAGAAGCAGGTCTGGCAGATGTCCACGTTAAATTGTTTCAGACTCCGGTACCTTGGGGACAGGAAACATGGTAGGAAAGAGAAGCCAATGTGCCATAATGTTCCCCTGACAAATATGAAGTGACTTTTAAAAGTTCATGGAAAAATGGAACAGAAGTGTGAATTTATTTTGGTGCAAGAAACAAAAATTGAAATCCATGCATAGTTTGTTCATAATATTCATTTTACATGAACATCTTGAATATCCCCTCATATACATACACATTAGAAGGGGGTGAGGCATGTAGCCTTAACACATGCAGCCTCCCATATATAACAGTGGCTGAGTCCTCAAAAGATCAGTAGCCTTATTCTAGAGATCATAAATCCCCATGAAATCACAGGCCCAGAGTCCCAGGAAGTGTGGGAAATAGCTCTGTCACGTCACCTTTTTATTTTCTTTCATTTTTTGGCTAGAGGAAATGTGCACTTACCAGTGAGACAGAGAGATAGGAAGAGGGAGAAAGCACCACTCAGTGGAGAGTGGTCATGCTACAATCCCTTCTTTTCCATTTACCCATCATGTCAGGATTTTATGAACACACAACATGGGCCCAGCATCGCTGAGGCCAGGATTTGAACCATGCAGTTGGCCATATGGGATCTAGCTCCCTTAACCACCAAGCCATGGGGCTAGTCCTATCATACCATCCTTAAAAAAAAGCAGTGGAAGCAAGGGTAAAAATCTCTTTTTATCAAGTAACTTTAAACAAAGATGTCCTGGAAGCATCAGGCCCCAGGTACCACTACCTGCCATAGAGTAGTTACACCTCCAATGCAAAGGCAGTTTTTTCTAGCAGGCTTGAGTGGGTTGACTAAAAGCTATTTCCAAAGATTATTTATAATAATAACTCTACTATTACAGAATACAGATTAGCCCTTTAGATCTACTTCCAAAAGTCCAGCTGAACTGCCTAGACCTACTGGCACTGAACAGTGAAATGCCTAGACTTAGAGGAGTCAGGCAATGCAATAGCTAGTCCTAGACATATTACTAACTAGTTGTATGAAATTGGGAAAAGCCACATTCCACCTCTGTGCCTCCTTTGCTCATCTTATACAAACAGGGCAGTTAGAAGGAGAACTATATGTTCATGCTTTAAAAAGTTGAGTATTTTAGGGCCAGCTTTGTGGTGCAACAAAAATGTAGTTCTCTAAGAGAAGGTGGATCTCGCATGGTGACCACAATTCAAATCCCCATTCTAGTTAGCCTGAAACTCTCAGGGCATACATATGAGGGCTCAAAATTAGACAGGCTAGAGGACTAAAGAAGGGGGATTGGAAGACAACTAGACCCTGTGGAGGCTCTTTCTCTCTCTGTGTCTCTCTGCCTCACTCTCACATATGCACACATGGGCTTTATTGCAAATAAAGAAAAAAACTTCTAGTGAGCATTTTATTATGAAAACAGAATTTAGGATAATGATTATTCCTTAGGTTTGGTCATGAGCATATACTTTGGCGTGCTGGAGCCAGTTCATACCACCTCACAGAGCTAACTGTTAAAATTTCAGGGGTTTTCTAAGCCATTTGTCAAATACAGCCATTATTAAAAAACTAAGTTACATAAACTCATGATTAAATAAATGCTATTAAAAATAAAGCTCATAAACACTCAAAATTCATCACTTTCTAATTACTATTATGTATGCTCTTGAGATTATTTTCATCTATTTTTTTAAGGAGGTTTTTGCTATAGGGCGCATGCACTCCCCAGAAAGACAGAGAGACAGAAAGTGAGAAATCACCCCCCAGGGGCAATGGCCACGATGCAATACCTTCTCCTCTGTTCTCTCAGGATCTTGGGCACACACACGCGCCCAGCATGAGTTTAAGCCACTGGGTCCAAGACTTGAACCACGGTCGACTACATGGGAGTCCAGTGACATAGCCATTATGCCATCTGCTGGGCCTGTATTTTCACCTATTGTATCTGCATGGTAGAAGCACTATAAGTGGTGTGTGACTGTGACTCTTTTCAACTCTGTGCTCAGAGAAATCTGTACGTAGCCTGACACTGGCCACAATGGGAATATTTACATCATGAAAATTAGCAAAATGCCACAGGTCAGGTCTCCTTTTTTCTTTCTGGAGAGCCAGTTGTGAGACATTTGCTGATATACCATTTTGGCCATAGGCATTCTTACAGTATTCTCTTATATGTTTCTGTAGGTCTGTAATAACTTCATAACACAACTAAAACAAAATGAAATATTTCAACATTTCCATTTCTAAAAAGTTTTACATTCTCAAGAGAAAGGATTACAACAATATATAATAATGCATAATTGATTAGACATTATATATGATAATTATGGAATACATTGTAATGTCTGATTTGTATATCACATGATGTACTTATTATTACTATCATCCCTGTAGGTATTGTTTTTCCTACCTGAACCCCTTGATGGGGCACTGCCTACAGATAGAGCACTTGGTCTGATGCTTTACTTGCTCAGCAATGGTAACTCGATGCAAAACAGCCAGCCACACCATCGACTGGGGCTCCAGGTTGACCCACTCCAGGAACTGGGATGCTTCAATGACTGGCTTTCCCCTGCGCTTGGGGAAAGCAGGAATGACTGAGAACCAAAGCACAGTGTTTCTAGAATGAGCCCTTGAAAGAGCAGGGGAACCAGGAGGACTTGCATTGGCCTATTCTCCAGAGGTGCCCACCTTCTGCCCTGCCCTAGGAGAGCTGGCACCCTCTGCAATAGGACCCTACAGCCCAGATAACTTTTTGACCTGTTGTCCCACCCCAATAAACACCCTTAATCTGAGTACTTCAGATCAAAAGCCTAGCTCTTAGTCCTCCTTCTCTCCCTCTCATTTTCCTTCCCATTTCCTTCCTCCCCACCTCCCTCCCCATTTCCATACTCACAAAACGGAAGCAGCTACGGACACTGGGCTCCACATTGCTGCCTCCAAAGGCTGCTACTTCGCCCAGCTGACGAGGAACCTGAATGGCCTCATGAAGCAGGACACCGAGGTGGCGTTGATCACACTGGCTGCCTGAGTTGGCCACTTGGCTGAAGAGGTCTGCTGGCCCCACCATCAAGAATAGCCAACCCCGATGCAGGAATGGCCGGAGAATGGTGCAAGGAGCAAGAACAGAAATG